TTTTTTTTTTTTTTTTTTTTTTTTTTTTTTTTTTTTTTTTTTTTTTTTTTTTTTTTTTTTTTTTTTTTTTTTTTTTTTTTTTTTTTTTTTTTTTTTCTGTTCTTATGTTGCAAAGATTTTCAACTTTGTTCCGGGAAAGCTCGAGTACCGGACCTGATGTCGGTGCGTTTCTCTTCATTAGCATTATTGCCATTCTTTTGGAAGTTTTAGCTTGTATGTAGTTCAGACATTGTGGTATTAAATTGTTTTTGTAGATCTTTGAGTATAATGGAAGTGCCGTAGTTGCGATGGTGGGGAAGAATTGTTTTGCCATTGCTAGCGATCGTAGGTTTGGAGTTCAGCTTCAGACAATTGCCACGGATTTCCAGAAAATTTACCGGATTCATGATAAGCTATTTCTTGGCCTTTCGGGCCTTGGTACCGATGCTCAGACACTGTATGTTCCTCTGGTTGATTCTTTTCCGGTTGGTTTAATTTTCCATTGCTTAACTCCTGCGTTTGAAATGAAGGTACCAACGACTTGTCTATCAGCACAAACTATACCAGCTTCGAGAAGAGAGGGACATGAAACCTGAGACATTTGCTAGCCTTGTCTCAGCTCGTCTATATGAGAAAAGGTTGGACATCGATTGAACTTCTAGTTATCTCTTTTTCAGCTGTTTTAATCACGCATACTCTCTATTTTTTGCCGTAGACTGAAGAACATGGTTGGGAATGAGATTTCTATAGGATTTGTCCAACCTTCATTTGTGTGTATATGTTGATTCTTCTACCAGTGTGATCCTCATGTTGATGTAATATTGTAGCTGACTTGATAGAGATGTTGCCTTGCACTAAGTGTCACTCCAGAGTTTATGATGTCAACCTTCAATGCATAATACAGATATGTCAAAGCGTGTTTATAGAATTGGTGTATTTTAAATTGACTGGCAAGATGTTTTATACGAATTTGGAAATAGGATTACAAGTTGGCTTGTTGGATATAGTTGAAAATGTGGATAGACTTATGAACAATATTGAAAAGCGCATACAAAAAAGATGAATTTACTATTATTGTTTGGCCTTTTTAGGTCAGATTAAAAACTCATATATCAATTTTCTCATTCGTAGATTTGGTCCATACTTCTGCCAGCCTGTAATTGCTGGATTGAGTGATGAAGACAAACCTTTCATTTGCACAATGGATTGCATTGGGGCCAAGTGAGTACTCTCCTTTTTTCTTTGTCTACTTCACAACTTTTTTATTTTCTTTGGTTGGACTTTGAGCTTAAATTAGTTATATGGGTATCTTCCTGTTGTTTGATTACAAAAATGTGCATCAGACTTGATGTTGCAGTCTCTGCAACGCATTGTAATGAAATATTATTTTTGGGATAAGCTTTTTCTAGGTTTAGGATTATCTAATGTAAAACTAATACATCGAATTCACTGTTCCCAGAGAGCTTGCTAAGGATTTTGTTGTTTCTGGCACTGCATCAGAGTCCCTTTATGGTGCGTGTGAGGCAATGTTTAAGCCTGACATGGTATGTTGGTATAATCCATTTACATATGCTCTGTATCCATCATTGGGATTCTAATTTGCTTTGAACTGAGGAAGAAATATATGTAAGTTGCTTGTTTGCTTTGCGATTTAGCAATGTAGCCTTTCCATTGGTGTTGATGGTTTGATTCAGGTCGATTTTTCGACCAAATGGATACTGACAGTTGAGTGTAAGATATCCAAAATAACTAAGTTGCTGATAGAATGTAAGTTTGTGTTGCAAGTAGATCTATCTTTTATAGGCATTACCATTGACCGCCCCATACCCCAAGGTAAACAATACATTAGGAAGAGCACCTATCACACTAGCCTTGGCATAAGAGTGAAGAATAAATGAAAATATATACCCAGAATTGAAATCATAGAAGAAAAAGGATTAAGCATATGCCCATAAAAGGAAGAGAAATTAGTGCATGTGTATTAAAGAGGAGAGTAGAAAAATCAAATAAAATAAAAAAGATAAGGACTCGAATCAACTTACACCATTACCTTAGACACTGGAAGAACAAATTAGGTACGGTAAAAATGTGGCTTCCAGTTGGAGCTGTTAAACCAGACTCATTGAACAAAGGGTCCAACAACTCTCATGGATTGAATCATTGGTCATTGTACATATAGAAGATGAAAAATTAAGAGAATTGTTTGGCTATAGACCTACTTAATGGACTGTGATGAACATATGAAGTGTAAAAATTTGACTCACGAGAAGAAATTGAGGAGGAAGATAAGAGAGAGGAGAATGAGAGTGTGATACTGAGGGGTGGGGCGTCTGCTATTGAGGTTTCTGGAAAGGAGATGGCTAACTTAACGACGTCTCGGAATAAGAGTGGTTGAAGGTTAAGACATGTATATAGAAGTGGCAGTGGGCAGTTTATAATCAGTTGATCAGATTGGTAGAGTAAAATATATTGAAAACTGAAACCAACTAACTCGTGTTATTTTCTTAGGGCATGTTTGGGAATGATTTTGACTGATATGTTATTTTCTTATGCCATGTTTAGGAGTGGTTTTGGAAAATTACTTCCAAACATGCCATGAAATTGGAAAAGCCGAAATTAAGTTAACCAACAGACCTATTAAACCAATGTGTACCAACTCTGGTTTCAGTCTGTTTCCTTAATTTATTGGCTTTGACTTGCACCCTTAATTATTCAGTTGTGAGGAATTGGTCTAGCTTTTTGAAAGACAATCCAGCAGTCTTGCTGTTTCAGATTTAACTTCACCATATCTTGTTAGAATGGAAGGCACTGTAGTTTCTTTCATTTGATTATGCCAAGAGCTGAGCATGATGTTCAAATTTGTGATCTTGATAGGTAGTGGAAAATAATCTTAGTGGGGAAAACAATTCCCGTCATAATTCTTTTGTGGGAATGTTCTTAACTTTATAATTAACTTTGTCAATTCAAATTTGTATTGGCCAGGAACCAGAGGAATTATTTGAAACCATCTCTCAAGCGCTGCTGTCTTCTGTGGATCGGGACTGTTTGAGTGGATGGGGAGGACATGTCTATGTTGTGTAAGCCACACGTTCTTGATTCTTGTTTGGTTTGTTTATTGTTGTAAATTGTGATTATTCTGGTAGATGTTGCTTTTTCGAATATTGTGCATATCACCAGGGATAAAATGATAATATTTGTATTAGAATATTACTTTTTCTTGAAAACAAGAAAATTACACATATTACCTCATCGTTTCTTATCGTAAAAATAACAATAATATTTGTAACAAAACTTGTTACGAGGCATTTTTGTTTAAAGTTGTGCAATTTATTAACTGTGTTTGAGGTATACATTATTTAGTCTCCTCTTTACATTTCCAATCTATATGATCCGTTGAGTGTAATTTTCAAATTGCGCCCCTGCTGGTTTGTGCTCTATCGTCTTTTGTTTTTCTCTAGTCAATAATTTAAACCATTATGGGGCATCCAAAAATAACAATAATAATATTTTTCCAAAAAATATTAAACCATTATGTATGCCCCTGACAAACATTCCAAAAGAATGGGTTTTTTCTTTCATTTCTACCTAATCCATTTTTTCCTTTTTGCCTTTTACCTTTCTTATTTCTGTCGACCTTTTCCTGTCTTCCATTATATATTTGTGGTTGAAATTATCCTATAATGTGTCTTTTTTCAGTACGCCAACTGAAGTAAAAGAGCGAATCTTGAAGGGACGAATGGATTGATCCTTCTTCCGATGTATGAAAGGTGACGTGTTTCGTGATTACTTCCAATTAGACTGCAGCCCAGGGATGGAGTTCACGAGTGAAATGCAAAAAACTTTCATTTTGGGCTGAAAGTTGTACTCTGCTCTATATATTTGTCATGGGAATTAGCTTTATCTAGAACTGTCCACGTGAAACAAGGTTTTTATTAAACAAAATGTGCTTTGGTTCCAAAATTGATTAATTTAGATTCCAATTTTTCTATTACTCTTTGATGGTAACGTAGCTTGTGCACATCTTTTACTGATCCAATTGCTTTATATTTTGCAACAACTTGTAGCCACAGTATATTCTTCCTTGTCAAAACATCCATACATTGGGTCAGTTCTCGAGCGGCCTCTGGTATGGACAAAGGTTGTCAGCAAAGAGAGGCCGTCGTGAAACCGTGGAGAGGCAAGGTAAGGATTGGCTAGTATTTCGATATCTGAAATGTAGGATAGAGGTATAAAATAATGTTACTTGAGATATACAACTTTACTTTCCTTTCCTTTGCACAAAACCTGCCTTCTCTGCAAAGAAAACTAAGAACTCCTCTACTCTAAAGATTGATGGAGGGCTTGATAGGTTGAGGAACTAGAACAAGGTGGGAATCTAGAATATAGAAATGTCCATTAGAGTTGGTTTCCAGTTGCCTTCTATGAAAGTTGTCTCTCAATCAAGAAACCAGCAAAAAGTGGAACTTCATAAACCCTAAGCCATGGCTCGTGTTGCACTGCTCTCAGAGATTTTGATCATTTGTTGTAATGGAAGAGCAAGAGGATAAGCAACTTCCTCAAAGGATTTCCCGTGCTTATGTGGAACAGGTGAACACGGATTTTATTATGGCCTTGGCAATGCAGCAGCAGGAGCATGAGAGGAACTACACGATGCTCGAGACCATCGAAAGTGATAGCGAAGAAGATGAACGTTCAGATTCCAACAGCAGCAATGGTCTCGACCACACCAATGACTCCTTGCAAAGCCAAGAACTTCATTCCCCGTGGGGTTTTCTTGCAGACGATGAGGAGGAGACTACGGATGATAATGAATATATGGACGAAGACGAAGAAGAAGATATCGAGGAGTTTGATTTGGATGAGCTAAGCTATGAAGAGTTGATTGCATTAGGGGAGTTCATTGGAGAAGAAAAGAGAGGGCTACCAATGAACGAAATACCTTCGTGCTTGCACTCGAGCAAGTTTCAAACCATCGAAAACAAAAGCGGTATAGATCGGTGTGTGATTTGCCAAGTTGAATATGAAGATAGTGAAGAATTGGCTGCCCTTCCTTGTGAGCATCCTTACCATTCAGAATGTATAAGCAAATGGCTTCAAATCAAAAGGGTTTGTCCAATATGTGGCACAGAAGTTTCATCCTCCAAGTCTTCTAAAAATGCTTAATATCTCCACAAATTGGTGATAATTCTGATTGCAAAAGGGGGGAAAAGGCCAAATATTCATGTTTTGGTCATCAATTGAAAGGCATCTGAAGAATATCAAGAACTTCGCAAAGAAAACAGGGAGGTTTATTTCTTCATATTCATATACATTTTAATGTCAATACCTCATCATAAAGGAACCCTCTTTAGCTTTAATTATACTGCAAATTGTTTTTATTACCTATTATTGTGACTAATTGATAGTATTATATCTAATCTCCATCACATTTTATGTATATATATAATCTTCGAGTAAAGAACCTCCAAATCTCTCTTCAAATAGTCTATTCAATAAAATTTAACCACAAATCAAATACGACTACTTTTCCAAGACCCGTCACATCCTTGTTTCGCACTCAAAGGTTTTGCCAATGCCTTCGATGCTACTTGCCATAAACAATAATTAAACATTTCCGCAACTTACATTACTATACACACATGATTTCGTAATTTTACCATTTATCTTACTTAAAAATCTTCGAACGACTAAGAATACCATCCTGTTCGGCTAACATTAGAGCTAGAACTTTATGCACATCCCGAACATTGCGCTGAAAAGTAGCCCCACATGGGAAATTTAATGCAAAGAAGATGAGCCAATCCTTAATGAAGAACGGTAGACATGGGGGTAATGACCAATTGGAAAAGAAATTGAGTGTTTGACGGCAGAGAACTTAGTCGGCGCCGCCCTAAGAAAAGTTTAAAGGATCCACAATTTTGGAGGTCAGTTTGAAATTATAGAAATGTGTTACAATTCACTTGGACAAAATAAATAACAAAATAAATAGATAAATAAATAAATAAATAAAGACAAGACATGGGCTGTCTGCTCTGGACACCACTTGGAAGTTGACAAAGACAGTAATTCTGCAGCCAAGTTTGAGGTTTTCCCATTTCTTTTTATTAATTTATCTCAATTTAATTCTTTGGTTTTAATATTTATAATATGCCACATTACTCTTGTTGTAATTCTTTTTTAAATTTTAAATTTTTTTATTTACTTAATGTCATAATATTATCAACTTGTCTACTATACGAATTTTAGTATAATTAAATGCAATGTGACAAATTAGGACTAAATGGATCTTTGATAAATATTTATTCAAATTATTTCAAGAAACTTCGGGTTCAAATATATAATTTTGAAAAAGAAATAATTTTAAAACTAAACTTTGTTTTAATAATAAAATAAGCGTGTGGAAAAATAGTGCCAATATTTATATGCTTTTGTCTTTTGTGTCCTTTTCTTCTCATTCTTATCCCTACCATTTACCAAACTCTCCTTCCTCCTTCCAAGGCAATATGTGAGGTGTCTACTGGACCGAACAGAAACGAGGAAGGTTGTTCTTGTCTTTTTCCCCTAATTTTCCACATCGACAAAATCTAGGATTCAGTTGAAGATTTTTTTTTTTTTTTTCGATTTTGTTCTTTTTTTCATTTATTTTACTCTTTTAATTTTTAATTATCTATTTTAATTCATCAACTTTTATATATTATAAATAAATAAATAAATAAATAAAAACCAAGGACAGTATAAAACTGATTGTTTTTTTTAGTACAAAAATTTTAAACGTTCAAACTAAAAACAATAAACATAAATTTAAAGTAAACCGAAAATAATTTAAATGTCATAAATGGAATATTTCTATTAAGGTATTTTAGAGTCAAACTTGAAAAAGAAAATTATTATTTCTTGCCCCATAAATAAATAAATAAATAAATATATATATATATATATTATTAATAAAATTAGGTTAGGATTATAAGCTCTTCTAAAATGGGGGCTGCTACCACTAAAATTCATAATTATTCTTTCCCCAAGAAATCAAATTAAACATGTTTAAACACACATAGTCCCATCAATATTATACGTGTGATACGTTTAATTTAGAGTTAAAATATATAAATATTTATGTGGTATATAGGTTTCTTAATCCTAAATTATAAATTCTTCCTATTTTAAATGGATTAAATCTATAGTTTAAACTGTAATAATATAATTATTATTATTATTATTATTATTATTATTATTATTATTTTGACAATATGAAGAACACAAATAATTATATACACTTTGACAATATGAAGTTGGACTAACAATGCGTTAATAATTTTTTAATAAATGGAATATTCGAATGTTGACCAGAATATTTCTATGGTTATATATATATAAAATTTCCTTTTAATAAAAAAATCAGACAAACTTTGTTAAAGTAAAATAGTTTCCAGTGGACCACTGGCAGAGCTTGATGTGATATATATGTCAAATTTTTATAATATTTAATTGGTCAAACATTATTAATTATTTATTTTTAAAAAGGAAAGAAAAAGAATAATAATAAACGATAGAGACGAGGAAAGCTAACCGGAAGCAGCAGGTCATTTCAAAGCCACCGTTCCAATAAATGCCAAACAACGTTCCATCCCCGCGATTTACGTGAATTCCACGGCGATCTTTTTTTGGGTTGTTGGGTTATGTGTTTAAATTATTTTAAAAAACTTATTTAATTATACATTAATTACTCAACATTATCATCTATTAATAAATATGAAAATATTTTTAATTTTCAATAATTTAGTTAATATAATTATAAATTTACTCTCATGTAAAATTAATACAATTGTAAAAATTTAGGGTTTAAATTGATAAAATTATTTATTTAGAATTTTAATATACAATTCAAAATTCAAAATTCAAAATTTAGGGTGAAATTTGTTTTTGCCCAAAATTCAAGTAATAGACACAAAAAAAAAAAGAGAAAAAAATATTTAAACGATATTAATTAAAAAATCATAATTTATTAAACTAATTAAAATATTATTACAAAAAGAAAAGGGAATATGTTGATTTAAATAGTTAAATAATTATTAAAAATAGAGATAACAGAACTTTTGACGTCGCTCTAACCCAAAACAAGATACGTAAGCGATGACAAAATCACCTGAATGCGCGTCCATTGCTCACGCATGGACTTTCATCTGCCACGTGTCCAAACCGGCGCATATTTTCTCTCGCCGACAACTAAAACGCTTATATCCCACGTGCTTTCCCCTCTCTCTCCGCCACGTGTTACTCTCCCAACTTCTATAAATACCCTTCCCATCCTTTGTTTCCACGTTTGAACCGGCAACGTAGCTCACAACACAAACACATAGAAAGAGAAAAAAAACCGGTTGAAGGAAAAACCACAGAGATTCAGAGAAGCGATAGAAATATACAGAACAAAAAAGATGACGGCCGGGATGATTCAGTTGCCGCCCGGTTTCCGGTTCCATCCGACCGACGAGGAGCTCGTCATTCACTATCTCTGCCGGAGATGCGCCTCGCAGCCGATTGCCGTTCCGGTCATTGCCGAAATCGATCTTTATAAGTTCAATCCTTGGGACCTTCCAGGTAAATTAATAGGAAAATTCGCATTCTGTGTCGAATGTTTTGATTTAGATGAGAAATTGAGTCTCTGATTTTAATTCTTACCGTTGATTTTGCAGAAATGGCTTTACACGGAGAGAAAGAGTGGTATTTCTTCTCGCCGAGGGAGCGGAAATATCCGAACGGTTCACGACCGAACCGGGCGGCTGGTTCGGGTTACTGGAAGGCGACCGGAGCTGATAAGCCGATCGGACGTCCGAAAGCGGTTGGAATCAAGAAGGCGTTGGTGTTTTACACCGGGAAAGCTCCGAGAGGGGAGAAAACCAATTGGATTATGCACGAGTACCGGCTCGCCGATGTGGACCGGTCGGCTCGCAACAAGAATAGCCTTAGGGTAATATTCCCAAACAGATTGAAGGGTTTTTTTTAATCAATTGCGAATAAAAAATCTGAATCAACGGCTGTGATTTTGCAGTTGGACGATTGGGTTCTGTGCCGGATTTACAACAAGAAGGGCGTAATCGATAAGCGAAACCACGCTGCCGTGAATCGGAACACGAACGGCTTCAAAGAAGAGGTGGAGGACGAGAAGCCGAACATTTTCACGAATCACGGCGGCGCTGGAGGGTTTATGCCGGCAGTCATGGCGGTGCCGGCGTCGGTGGACGATTGCATACATTTCGAAACATCAGATTCGATACCGCGATTGCACGCGGATTCGAGCTGTTCGGAGCACGTGGTGTCGCCGGAATTCGCGACGAGCGAAGTTCAGAGCGAGCCAAAATGGAAGGAGTTTCAAAATGCCTTCGATTTCCGATATAATTACATCGATAACTCACTAGACCAGGAATTTGCGACGCCGTTTCAGGGCGGGAATCAGATGTCCCCGCTCCAGGATATGTTCATGTACCTGCAAAAGCCATTTTGAATATCCAGCGTCTGATTGTTCTTTGAATCCTTAAGTGAACGAACAGTCGTTGATGGTTGTTCAATCGGACGGTCGCACGAGATTGACAGTCTATGAGTGCGCCGCCGAGCATATAGGAAAAATAGGAAAAAAAGAAATACAGACTGGAAGTAGGAGTTGGTCATTGTGGTAGGGCCCGATTGTGGGGTCCTCTTAGGTATATATTGATCAGACGGGCGCCGTTTAATCAGACATTGCTTGTGAAAATAGGCTGTAATACACCATATAGTTACTTTTTGGGAACTCCATTTTAATGAGGGAGCCCTTTAAAGCTCCTATAATTTGTACCTAATTCTAGGTTTATTAATATTTTGAAAATGCTTACCATGCTTTTTTTTTCCTCGCACGTTGCAATTTTACCAATTTTCTTATGATACTAAATTAGAATAAAAAAAAATCAAAATTTATTTATATTAAATAATAAGGTAAAAATTCATTTAATTAAGCGTGATACTCACAATATTTTAAACCAATATTATCAATTTATATTAAAAATTGAAGAGTATTTTTTTATACTTTTTTAGTCATATCCACATTGTGCTTACATTCTCATATAACATAAATTTTAATTTTTCAAATCTTGTTTTCAAAATTATCTTTCAAACTGTTCCCGTTTTTTAAAACTCTTCTTAAACTGGGGGTTAGAGGCTCGAGCATACGTTGCTTGGTCATAGGCGGCGCAAGAATGAATAAGCTTAACTCACTTGTTACTAGAAACTGAATGCCACACGATCGCAAGTCCGCTGCCATCAAAGTGCAAAGCTTAGAATTGTTTTAAATTTTTTTAAAAAAAGTTGAAAGGTTTATTAATTTAGCCTATTTTAAATTACAAATTTTTAAGGAAATGTTAAAAAATTATCATTTATTTCTACCAAACCTATAAGACTAGAACACATTAATTGTTCAGAAAAAAACAAGATAATATTAAGATAATAATTTTCATTAAGAACAAAAGATAAATATTTAAGTTGGATAGCGTCTATAGATGTCTATAGTATAGTGCTCTATCTACCACCTAAATTATCCATGCTTATCTAGAAGCATACTATTCTTTAACATTTACTTTTATATCTTATTTTTAATTAAAAGTAAAATTCAAAGGAGGAAAAAATATATATATTCTAAAGTTCAATAATGCAATAAACAATGTCAGGGAGAACAAAAGATTGGTGGCTGTAGATAAACTACTATTAAAGATAAGCATGTGCCGAAATATTGGAAGTGAACCAGTCCAACAAGAACAAAGAAATACTTTTAAATGTTATCTGACCTTTTTCTTGCAGACTTTCAAATATTGCATTTCCTTCCTATACACACAACACATCAATGTCAGCACTGACTTTTTGCATCAAAAGCTGGAGGTCAAATGAGGCATATGTTCACATTCTCTACAGTTTCGTACCTAATCGATGCACACGGGTGCGTGCGACAGATGGTTGGTGAGCGAACGAAGGCTCGCTTTAGCAACAAGACTACTCTGCAGCGCTAACGAGTGCACATCTGGCTTTAGTAAACGATGAGATGAGCAATCCGAGTTGTAACTTGTCGTTGCATCCAAAACTCATTCTGTACCTACAAACAGCAACCGGTCAAACTGGTCAATTGAGTAACAGATCAAAAAACTTGATATGTGTCCTCTCTAAGTCTGTTTTTTTAATTTGATTGAGTTAAGATGTGAGATCCTATATCGGTTGGGGAGTAGAATGAAACATTGTTTATAAGGGTGTGGAAACCTCTCCCTAGCAGCCGCGTTTTAAAAAAACTTGAAGGGAAGCCCAAAAGGGAAAACTCAAAAAAAACAATATCCGTTAGCAGTGGACTTGGGCTGTTACAAATGATATCAGAACTAGACATCGAGTGATGTGTCAGTGAGGAGACTAAGCCCCGAAAGGGGGTGGACACGAGACGGTGTGCCAACAAGGGAGCTGGGCCCCAAAGGGGAGGATTAGGGGGTCCCACATCGATTGGAAAAGAGAACAAGTGCCAGCGAGGACACTGAGCCTCAAAGGGGTGGATTGTGAGATCCCACATCGATTGGGGAGGAGAATGAAGCATTCTTTACAAGAGTGTGAAAATCTCTCCCTAACATATGCGTTTAAAAACTTCGAGAGAAAGTCTAAAAAGAAATATACAAAAAAGACAATATTTGTTAACAGTGGGTTAACCCAGTCACATGTTCACAAATATTGAATTCAGAACCCTTAATTCCCTCTTCATACTTGGAAAAAAACGAATGTCATGAAATTTCGTTATCGTCTTTGGGTCTTCGAGAACTTTAAAGCCTATTCTATTCTATTATTGATAAGTGGGATAGATTCATTGTACAGCTACGAGAAGTTCCAGCTTACAAGCAATGGAAGTATATGCTTAATTAGACAGTCTTTTTCAACTAAGGGATTGATCACTAATTCGTGATCAAAGGTTTGTTAGAAAGAATTGGGTTAGGTCTAGCAGTTGACCAGTTTTTCAAATTGAAAAGATAAGATCAAACGATGCAAATCATAGGATAGAATGTCCTTTTATCTTTATCCATAAAGAAAACTGCAGCATAATTCTATTCATTGAACTGAAGAATATGACAGAACTTTTAGCTTACAAAAGTAGAAATAGATGAGTAAGAATGTTTTACAAGTTAGATCAGAAAACTAAGATTCTCTGGTCCTTTTCTACCTATATGTCAAAATACTCGTTCAACTTAGTAAGCTCCTCCCTATCCACGAAAAAGAAACCCCCAATTTTTTAAGCCTTCCGATTTAATTATTGTTGAATATATGCGTAACAATTAAGATGAAACGTGTATGGTGGCCGTTATTTTGCAGATCATACATATTTTTACAGAATAAAATAATAAAACTTGACAAGAAATTAAATAAGTAGAGAGATTGATGCATACTCTATGTCAGCAAGATCATTAATCAATTGAACTCTTACATCCGATGGCATCTTGATCTTAAAAACAAACCTACATGAATTGAACAGTTGGGGAAGTCAAGTAAATATCATCACTCAGAAATCATGCAAAATGATGTAAAGCACTTACATGGTGACTTCTCTCACTATATCAACCAAAGCTAATCCTTTTCTGGTCTTTATTTCAGATATTCCTGAACATGGAATTGGTAGGAATTAAAGGAAAAAATCTGGAAAACCACATCAAAATTAATGGAAAACTCCAGAGGAAATCAGTTACTCTTAAAACTGTCAGAAAATGGTTCATTCAGCAGCCAAAATGATATTTGTTCTATGTCTTTGGGCATTGGATTTCCTGTACATATGTATACAGCCTCGTCAGTAATATGCTGAGAAGCCATATGCGTTGACTGCATAAAAAAGCATCATTAGGATCACAAAGTAACAACTAAATAACATATGTAAACGTCTCCAATCAATGTGTGAGTTATAAAAGAATGTTGACATGCACCAGTGCATGTTGATTTAAGGGACATTGTGATCCAAATTCCAAAATATGCAGATTGGTGTGCAGCAATTTAAGAGTGCTCAGCCTTTATTATCCACACTTTGATCATTTCTCGTAGTACTAACAGAAGAAAGTAACTGAACCATGGGTCATAAAGCATCATGAATCCAATTGTTTGAATTACTTTCTTTTTTCTTTGTTGCATTTGAAGTGAGAGCTCAATTCTATGGAACTTTTACGCATGGAAATGTTGAGAACACTAGATAAAGTTGAACTCTTGAATCCAACCATTAAAAAAAAAAAAGCGCCAAGGAGATGGGATGACTTGTAGTTTTGGTTACATACCAAGAAAATGAACTACTCATAATAGTTATGAATTTTAGTTTTGGTTTACTTGTGTCCTTTTTTGACTTGGGCTTGTTGACCAATGACTTAAGTTGTTGGGCTTCTCTAATAGGGCTTAATCCCACACCTCTCCTTTAGCCCTAAACATTACTTTGAGATGATTAGTGAGACGAATGTAACTTTATTAGGTTTTTTTTCAGACGATGTATGCTTTATTAGGTTAATATTGCTTAATTTTAATTTAAACAATTTAGGGTTCCTGGTTGGCCATATAAGCCAACTTACATTCATTTGTAACCTAGAATGCTGATGTTGAATAAAAAATTTGAATTGAGAACTTTCTCCTCCTTTTTGGGTGTTGAGAGCTTCATGGTACTTAGCTTAATGGACTTGCAGAAAACCTCTAGAACCATTTAAGTTGGTGGTCACCAAATTTGTTGAGTGATTGGACCTTAGAGCTAATTAACCTTCTTCTTCAAGGTCTTTGACCCTCAAAGGTAATCCCCATCTTGCTTCCCCTTGAATGTTATAGTGTGTAAAGAAGGTCTCGAGTTGCTTAAGCCTTTTCTCTAGGTTTTTCTTAACATTTCTTCCAAAATTTTAAGTAATGATGAGCATGTATCCATACGGTCCGCTACTTTTACTTGTTAACAAGGCAAGGGTGAAAAATGGAGGCAAAAAACCACCATAACAGTGATTGAGTTCCAGGATATCATATTCTTAATCTTTAATAGATGAGAACAACTTGCCTACATCTCTTACTACTGACATGATATGTTTCCCATTTATGCTTTCATATTCTTAATTCTCATAAAATTAAGCCATCACTTTATTCTGGCCTAATAGCTACTGCACTACCGCAAAATGCAAAAAACAAAGTCAAATAAAAACTATATTACCTGCATAATATTTAAAGCCTTTCTCATATCACCACCACAAAGTCGAACAAGGGCTGCTAAGCCACTCTCAGAGACGTCCAACCTAATTACCATTCAGGTATAGAGAATTAGACATATGTTCATAATAGAGTTACATATTCAAAAATATATAGGATCCAACTAACATCACCTCCAAAAACAATCTAGATTCAAAAAATTACATGTTCTTTTTAAAAGTGAAAATTTTATGGAAAACCAAACATAGCTTAGACAAAAAGGAGGACAGTAGGTCCCATACAAACTTCAAGTGTAATAGCCACTACATGTCCATTGAACAATAAGAGAGAGTTCAATGAACTCTACTTAAAATTTCCATGGTCAGCAGGATTTGGGGAGAGAGAGAGAGAGAGAGAGAGATTGTGTATTCTTCCCCCAATAGTTACAAAGCTAGAATGACAAATTGAGAGAGATTGTGTATTCTACCCCCAATAGTTACAAAGCTAGAATGACAAATTGAATTATACATCATAATTAATATAACGTAGATGCCAGCCATCAAAGACTTTGTACGTTTGCCAGTCAGACATAAATGTAAGCAATAACGAGATTAATGTGCATATTATAAGTGAAACAAGGAAGACTTCGTACCTCTCAGCCTCAATAACATATCTGAGTCGTTCAGTGACATGAAAGTTGTCGAGGGGAGCAAATCGGAAGCGGGTACATCTTGATTGTAAAGCGGGAATAATCTTATTTACGTGATTACAGATAAGAGTAAACCTTGTACCTTTTGTATATTTCTCAACTACTGCACGAAGACAAATATAGCAACAATTGGCATAGGACAATGTAGCTCAATGAAAGATGGAGAGAGAAATGAGAGTAGCAACGTATGAGATAAACCTCTACGTAAAGCAAACTGTGCATCTTTAGTCATGGCATCTGCCTCGTCCAGAAGTACCAATTTTACAGATGGTTTAACCCTGCAAATTTAGATGGTTAAGCTAAATAAAAATGTTGTATTCTATAGAAATTGTATCAAAATGTGGAAAACACATTTCGTATCTATCGAAATCAGCTCGATACTAACGAATTGTCAATGAATACTTCAAATCACAGTTCTACCCTGCTGTATACATAAATTGCAACGATGGCCCATCAAATGATTAAAAATGAAACAGTTTGATGCTTTGTTCACCCATCAATTGCCAAATGTATTATACCACACCAAACCTCTTCAACATAATTCCAATGATACAGAGAGTATGTTTTTGAATTCAGATAAGTGAATGATATAATTAGTCATTACCCAAATGAAAAGCTTTGAGTACTGACAAAATTCTGAATCTGCTGTCGGACAACATCTATCCCTCTATCATCTGATGCGTTCAGCTCGAGTATCATCTTGTGGTAGTTTGCTCCATAAAGCTTGCGGGCAACTGCTAGAATGGTTGATGTCTTCCCAGTGCCAGGAGGGCCGTACAACAGGAGATGTGGCAGCCTATTCTCACTGGTCAGCTTGTCAACTAAGTAACATCCCACATAACAGAAATAAAACCAGGAGACAACAAAAATAAGAACACGAAAATTGAAATATCAAACATGAATTACGCAAAACATTGATATTAATCGACAAACACATGAATTCCTGATCACAAGCATTCGCTATGTTAAACTAGTCTTTCAACGACTGACGAGACACCACTTCCAGATTGCGAGTGAAAATAGAAGTAACGTTAACCGTTGAAAGCGAGAACCCTAATGTATCGAGCAGTCTATTTTATGGTGCAGAAGTCTTACTGGTGTCAACAATGTCGCGGTGAGCAGCAACATCGGCAAGAGACTTTGGCCGAAACTTCTCGACCCAGGGTATCGCTTTGCCGTCAGGTACGGCGGCAGGACTAGCGACATTGCTGCACTTGACTCGCTTTTCAGCTTCGTTGTTGTCATTGTCGTCGTCGATATCAATGACAGTAATTACTTCCGACATTTAGAACAATTTTGGAACTGGAACTGGACCGAGCTGCTTCAGAATGTGGTTTTTTGCCCCGCGTCGTGGTGGCTGCGCGATCGGTGATATGGCGCCAAACGTACGTGGGCCAATCTACTCTTTGGGGAACGGATCTCTATTATAGAGGTATATTTTTTTGTTCTTTAAAATTTTATAAGTGATTGGTTTTAATTATTGTTCAATCAATTAAAAAAAAATGTAAAACTTCTCCCTTCATCTAAAAATTATATCTTTAAATTTTTAAAAATTTGAATAATATCTTTAAATTTTTACAAAAATTTAAAATACCCTTACTTTCCATAAATATTTTTGTTTAAAAAATCTTTAAATTTTTAAAAGTTTTATTAAATATCTTTAAAAAAAAATTAAATCTTTAAAAACCCATTTAAATATTTTTTATACTTATCAGTTTTTCGGAGTAATATTAAAATATTTGTAAATAATATATGAGATGTTGATATATGGTTTTCGTTCCTATATAGGTGTTAATAGTTTTTCTAAAACAAAATATTAATAGTTTCATCCAAAATTAACTAAAATTAGTGTATTTTTTATTTTTTATTTTTTAATTTGAGGATATTATAAAACAAATTAAAAAAAATTAAAGTATATTTTATAGAGAAGTATAAAATTTAAGGATAATTTTATTAATTTAGGTCACAATTCCAAAATTACAAATTAGTTAGTGCTGACCCACATATTAGACGACATGGTAATTAATATATAATTACTATAATTTGTCGATAAATATTTTATAAACAAGATAATAATTTTTTATTTTATTTTTTATAGACATACTAATTACAAATCTCTGATAACCATTTTGATTTTTTTCATTTATTTATAATGATTTTTGTCTATTTTAAAATATAAGTTTATTGGAGTTTTAAATTTTTGTTTGGGATTTTGAGCCTGTAAATAGAAATTGATTAATCAAAAAATAAGATATTTTTTAATACATTTAAATTTAGGGGGAAATTAGATATGGTCAGAGACCATCTTAAGAAATTTCGAGGACAGTAAAAAAATATTATTATTGCCATAATTCCAAATATCTCGTTTTTTATTATTTTTTTAATTTTATTTTTCCAGTTGACAATTACTTAACGTTATTGGATTTTAGCCCCAAGCCCGGCCCATGTATTATGATATTCGGCCCATATATAAGCCCACAATAGCACTGCAGTTCACTCGAAACCCTAATTTATATTTCACCTCCTTCCTGAAACTTCACTCCTAGTGCCTTCCGAGGAGCATCCATACTTGTCGCCGCCGTTCGCCCATCGGCTGCTGTCGTCCCAGTGAGTATTATGCCTCATCTTATTTTCTTCATGCACATCTCTGTCTTATTGACGCTTGTCTCTTTCGCATTCTCTTTCTATGTTTCACGTTTGCCTTTGAAAGTTTAGGTTTAGGGTTTGAGCGGGTTTTGTCATTTTTTATGATAGGTTGGATCAGGAATCTTAGAACTTCTCTTTGCGGAGAAGCTCTCGATTCGTCAAGATGGGTAAGTCATATGCGGACTTTCGGATTGTTCTACACATCTCCATTTGTGTGCTTGTTTTTCTTCTTTGTAATCTTGGAGAGTTTTGTGTACAGGTATTTCTCGTGATTCTATGCACAAGAGGCGTGCCACTGGAGGCAAGAAGAAGGCTTGGAGGAAGAAGCGAAAGTAACTTTCTCTGCTTGTATTTATTTGTGTGCAATTAGATTAATCAGCTTTTACTCCATTTCCCCAATTTAGTTGCTAATCGGCATTCAAAAGATTTCATGTCTTTCTACATTTAATTTTTTAGGTTTTCAGTATACAATGCTAGCTTTGTGATCTTAGCTGTAACAATGCCTTTTTAATTGCATGTTCGTGACACTATTATCAAGGATTTGCCGTTTGTTTCCTCTTGCAGTGTATATTCCAAGACCTTTAGTTAATCTGCGTTAGATACCTCATATTCTCAGATAGACTAACGTTTTTTTTTTAACTCAAAATATTATGAGTGGCTACAACATGGTTAACATTTGATGTTTGGATGAACGGAAAACTGTAATTTCCCTTACTGACATAGCAATTTAGTCTTTTCCCGTAATTTTTTTATGGTGCAGTTCAAGTTTACTAATTTTATATGCGGAAGTAGAAATATAACATTCTAGTAAAGTGAGGATACAATTTTCATGTTCTGTGTGTTATTTTTCATGTTCTCACACGATATCATTTCTTTGTATAGGTATGAGCTTGGAAGGCAACCTGCCAACACTAAGATATCCAGTGACAAGTCGATCCGGAGGATTAGAGTTCGTGGGGGTAATGTGAAGTGGCGTGCTTTTAGGCTTGATACTGGTAATTACTCATGGGGCAGTGAGGCCGTGACTAGGAAGACCCGTATTCTTGATGTGGTGTACAATGCATCAAACAATGAGCTTGTTCGTACTCAAACTTTGGTGAAGAGTGCCATTGTTCAGGTTGATGCTGCACCATTTAAGCAATGGTATCTTCAACACTACGGTGTGGATATTGGAAGGAAGAAGAAGACCTCAGCACCTGCCAAGAAGGAAGAGGTAGAGCAAGCTTGGTCTAAGTTCGATTGTTTGATTTTGTTTATTGAAATTTCAAATTTGAGTTTTGATGTGTTTTAAAAAAAGTTCGATGGACAATGTTAATGGCATTCTAGCATGATCCATAAGACACCCTATTTTTATGGTTGATAGGAAGGTGAGGCTGCTGCTGCTGCGGAGGAGTTGAAGAAGAGTAACCATGTTCAGCGCAAGTTGGAGAAACGTCAACAGGATCGTAAGCTCGACCCACATATCGAGGAGCAATTTAGCAGTGGTCGTTTGATGGCTTGTATCTCATCAAGACCAGGTCAATGTGGCCGAGCAGATGGGTAAGCACACTCATTGAAGGATTTTTGTTCTTTCGAACTCGTTTTTGCAGATGGTGTAGGGGTTTTTAGTAGTTTGGCTGATGTTTTACAAATTTTTTGCAGGTATATCTTGGAGGGGAAAGAACTCGAGTTCTACATGAAGAAGCTCCAGAGAAAGAAGGGAAAGGGTGCCGGTGCTGCATAAGTTTGGTCGTTAAGATATGTTGTGGCCGTGTTTCATTTTCTATGATTCTATCTGCCTTTTTTGTCTTCTGAAGATGATGAATTTGCAGCTAAGAGGATAGAATTATTTATGAACTTCAATTTTGCTGGTATTAGTTGTTTAATTACAATATTTTATTTGAATCTGTTTCGTGATTATAACAGTTCGCCGTTTATTAGCCTCAGAATTTTCAAATGCCCCAACCTATTTCTTTGCCTGCTGATTTAATTTTGTCTAATTGATTAATCTTGTTCTTTTTCGGCTTGCATTCTGATTATTTCTCTTTAGAATAATCCAGCCATCAATTATTTCTTCCCGGTTAATAATAATAATAATTCAGGCTATATTATTATTATAAATATTATTTCTAAAAAATTATTATTATTACTATTACCTCATAAATAGTACGTCTATGCAATGCTGAGTTTGGGAAATACCATTATTAGTTGATTTCAGTTCTAGTTGTGATAAATGTAATATAAGTGTTAATATTTAGGTTTCTAGATTTATGGGGTTAGTTTTCCTAGTTCCAGTAAAAGGGTTTTATTTTTTCAAGTTTGGTAATAACAAGGTGCCAGTAAGATTTGTATGCATCTCTTTTTCGCTAAATTAATAAAAGTATTAAATATCATTTTTTCATGTTGTATTTTGTCCTGAAATGCTTTAAAGGTGAGGAGGCTTTTCCCAATCCCCCCACCATGGATTCAAAGGAAAAAAAATGAAAATAAAAATAAAAAATAGTTAAATTTAGTTTCCAATAATTTGTCCCATTTCAAATTGTTAAAAGTTTTTATTATTATTATTATTATTATTATTATTTATTTTTTTTTATTGTAAATATAGAGTAATCAAAAAATTTGTTAAATTACAATTTTAATCTTTAGAGGCTGAAAATTTTGTTCTGAATTAAATTTTACAGATAGGTTTGATACAAAATTTACATCTAAAAAAAAAAAAAACTAAAGTATATATTTATTTTGAATAGATCAACTAATTTCCATTAAGTTCATATAACAAAATTAAAGTTTGACATATTAGACACTTTTTAAATTAAGAATTAAATAGATATAAAATTTGAAAATTGAATAAAAAAATAACAAATTCTACTACCTTGGTTCATCTCTGAATGTGATGCTCTAGTAAAAAAAACGTACATAAATGAACTAAGAAGTTATCAAAATGAGTGATTCCGAAAATATGAAATTATGGTTAATAAACACAAAAATATAGAATTGATGCCATTCCCGAACTAGCGGGCAGGCAAGCACCTGAAATGGACAGATAAAGGGCAGTGCCAATTTGGGGTTCTTGTGTCAAAATAAGGAAGCCCGATGATATGGGCGTAACTTGACATAGTGTCTATGTCACGTAGTTAGTGTATAAACCTAAGAATCCACCAAATAAGTAACAAGATGCGGAAAGAAATTTTGTATACTATATAGCATCAGGCTCAATTTTCGAGGGCGCAATCGAGAACGTTTATACAGAATTTTCTTTCATGATCTCGGTACATTATACAACTAGCATATTGGCTAACAAAAAAAAAAGTATACGCTTACTCAGTAAACTTCATTGTTATATGCAAAATTTTCTGTCCAAGTTTCTGTCATTTTAACTATTTTTTCATTAATATACTCAGCCATCGCTAAAAGATCTTGGGGATGTACTCATAATAATTACCTGATAGGATACTAAGCGGACCTTCTGGTTCACAAAAACTTTGGCCTTCCCTGAAAAAATAGAGGCAACCAGAAAAGGCTTGTAAGATGAGGGATATCCACAAAGCAATGCGACCATCAAAACAAAGAAGGCAATGAGAGAATGGTAATCTACTTTTGAAATTTGTTGCAACTGGTCGAAAACCATCCGATCTTACGCCGCTCGTTGTCATAGATCACCATTTTATCTTGCAGAGAGACATCTGAATGAGAAACGAGGTCAGCCAATGTAACAATTAAGGCAACTAAGGTATGAGAGTGCTGTTGGCATGAGAAAAGTGCTTTTTCTATCATGACCAAAGCTCAGAAGCATTCTAAACTAGAAATCATCTGAATTATTAGTACTTCTGAAAAATAGTAAAAATTGCTTAAAAAGCATCTTGAAAGTATTTTTAAGAGTGTAGTGACACTTTTTTCTAAAGCTTGTGTAATTTAAGTACTTATTGGCTAGAATTACTAAGCCATGTTTGTTGATCATTTGATTTTTTTTTTTTTTAGCTTTTGAAAAGTAACCATAAACGTACTACTTCCACTTACGAGTTCTTTATTTGATTATCTAGTTTTGGGGCATGTTTTCATAATTCAGTAGATTTTGTTCCTTTAAATTTTAACTAGGAATTTTGAAGTTCTGAAGTTTGAAAAAGATGAAAATAGTAGTGAATAAGTGGTAAGTGGTAAGTGGTAAGGAAACAAACACAATTTTCAAAAACAGAAAACTAAAAACAAAATCATTATCAAACCGGGCTAAGTAGTCTCAAATCTAACTTATACAAAGAGGGGAGGGGGGATTCTTACTTACCACCAATAATGTTGAGATCCCCAAGTCCAACTTCAGTGCCATTCAGAATCCCAAAGCAAACATTGCCATATTTCTGGAGGACAACTTGTTAGGTACTTAATACTTAAAGAAGAAACCTGCAACTAATTAGAGATTGAGTTGTGTACTCACAGTTACGATTAGATAAGATTCTGGAGGCAGTTGAATTTGAGCATTCTTAGTTTTTGTAAAGTGCAATGCCAAGGGCCTGAAGTAGTTCTTTACATCGCGCAACGACTTGAAAGGTTGTGAGCCTCTCCAGCATATCGGAAGAGATTTATCCTCGGGTGCATCTTCCAGAGGTTTTCCTCTCAAATCATCTCTCACCTGAGGTAAAAAGATCTCATATCTGACACAACAATTTCACAAAAAATGTTGCTAAAGAAACTAGTTCCTTGTCTGTGCTTTTACCAGAGCAAGAACGGAATCGTAAACTTGAGAGGTGAAGTAAGTGTAAGAGCTCCCACTGTCAAAAACTAATGTAAGACCCTTGATACCAGCAGCCTTTCCACCAAAATAGACTTCTGCAGGTCCGGAAGAGTAGTGATTTCTGAGATAAGATTGGATGTCATAAGGACCTACAGTTACATGTGTTGCAAAAAGATAACATGATGATAAAGGTCTACTCACTCTATGGATTCAGAAGACATACTTGTCCACGCTACTCCAGAAGAAGGTATGAGTTCATCACCAAAAAATAGAAATCCACCTTGTTCGCTTAGACAGTGGCCTACAACGTTTCGCACTATGCCCATGTTGCTTAGTTGCGAGATAATGCTAACTTCACCGTTGCCAAGGCCAAGAACTCCAGCTGTAGGAGGAGGTGGGTTTGGAACAGAATATTTATGATCATATCCACATCTGCAGACAAAGGATTAAAAGATATGTCCTCCAAATCAACCAGATAGAAGCAAAATCAATTTCACTATTTAGGTAAAGCCAGGTCCAAAACTTTGATACTTATAAAGAAAATGGTACCTCTGGGGATTGCAACCATGATTAATTAGGATTATAAGCATGTGAAAGACCCCGGATTATAAAGGTGTATCAACGTAAGTGTGCGAAAGGAAAGGAGGTCGTTCAAAGTTACATTGTTATGTGCGTGTGGACCCAATATATTTTGTTAGTTTGGGTGCACCCCTGTGTGAGAAGGGATATAGGGCAGTGTAGTTTGTAGAAAGGTCATTCTCTATTGAGAATTAGAGAGAGGGGGGAAGCTATCAAATCTCCCTTTCTGATTTTGTTCATAAATAAAGTTGTGGCCTAGGCCTAACAGCATGATAACAGGTTATAATGTGATAAATCCACACGACTCACCCAAATGCTATGCGGGGAGCTGCAAGAGAACCATTGGTGAGCTTCAAAGGAAAATGGTCATTGACCAACACACCCAACGAGGATCCATGGTCAGCATACTCAATTTCATACTGGCACTGTTCATCTGCGGACTCGCATTGTTGGTCAGCTGTCAAGTGAAGCGACGCACACAATGGTTCAAAACAAGTCAACGCATTGTTGGTCAGCTGTCAAGTGAAGCGACGCACACAATGGTTCAAAACAAGTCAACGCATTGTTGTTGGGTTTATATAACTGTCCACGAGGCTGCAGATTCATGTAAATTTTATAAAAACGGTTGAGCGAAGAGAATAAACATCAAATTGGTTATTGTTATCATTGAATCCGCTAACCTTTGTGCAACCTGTACAGGGGGCATCACATTGGACCCAAGTGAGGTCACTGCCAGAGTCTATATCAAATTCAAAAGCCTCATCTCCTTTGCCAATGTTAATAGACACAGAGTAGTAACTGCAATTATAGAAAAGAATTTACAATGAACAAACGCTTTATATGCTAGCTTTTTATAATATACATGGTGACTAGGAGGAAGAGCAATCGAAGCAGTGATAAATAAACAAATAAATAGGCCAATAATCAAACAAAACCAGAGAACTGAAAGACAAGCTGAATTCATAACATTTTGAAACACCTAAAAAGAAACACTTCACCATTGAAAAACTTCTCTGTATCGAAATTTCCAAATTTCTAAACGGACGAAAAATAGATACCAAACATTATATTGTACGTTGAATAAATCAAACCAGTAACTCAAAAATATAGAACAGAGAACATAAAAGAAATGCTAGAATCATTGAATGAGCATAGACTAACGAGAAAGGTTAGAAAAAAAGGAAACAAGTAGATTTCCTGACCTCAGATAAACTCAACAGAATAAAACAAGAGAAAACGAGTAACAAAAACATTCAAAGAACTGAATAAGACAACTTCATGAAATCAAATTGGCCGGCAACAGAACAGATTCATAAATCAAATAGAAGGACGTAGTTAAAACTGAAAAATCAGTAGCAAGTACAACAAATTTCAATATAGATGGTGAATCGATGCCAGAACAATAAATGAAACAAAATAGACAGAAAATCGAATTATGCAATGGTGAAATTTATTCAAAGCAATCACGATTTCAGAGTCGCGACGATTACCCGAGCGGATAAACATTTCCTTTGAGGGAAAACACAGCCGAGGAGAGGAGGCGATCAGAATTTTTCTTGCGCAAAGAAAAAATGTTGGCGGAGAAGCAGACAGAAAAGCTTGCCAATAGAGGTAAACAAAACAATATTAGAGTTGCTGTTCTTGGCATTTTTCTACTTTTACTCTCCGAATTCCGAAGAATTTAGACGAAAAAGGGAGATCGAAAAGTTTCTGCGATTCAAGTGTCAAATCGGCTATGATTTAGCGTTGGCTACTTTCAAGTCTCCTTTAAGACGGACAGTTGAAAAGATCACAACAAAGAAATGAAGACTTTTTGTCCATTTTTTTTGGTTGAATTATAATAAAATCTCTTTTCTAATTTTAAATATATTTCTATTCTTTCAAATTTACAATAATAAATTTCTTTTGATATTTTTTTAATCTTCAACTAATTATTTAATAATAATTATGTTCTTAATGAATCAATCCCTTTGATTGAGTTTAATTTTTTAGAAATTGAGTGGATCGAGTCCGGTCAAGTTTAGTATGCTTAAGGATTATATGACCTACCTAGACCGAAAATAGATATATAAAAAATTTAGGGTTGTCTTATTGTCGGCTCTCGTGTTTCCTTCACAAAATTGTAAGTCTTTTTTTCTCCTATACCTTCCGTCCATAGTATCAGTGAATTTGCAGTAACAGTTGTCATCATCTAAAAGTAAAAAAAAAGAAATAGTCTGTCCCAACCCGAAAATAGAGGATTGGGTTAAGTTGCCAATTTAACCAACTCGAACTTTTGGGTTGATCTAAAAAATTCCTCAACCTGACCCAAATTGTAATAACTCATGCATACACCTAACATATATTGTATGAGTTCAAAGTTTTTAAACACGTCGGTTAAGGAGAGATTTACATGCCCTTATAAGAAATGTTTCGTTCCCCTATCTAACCAATGTTCGAGAGGAACTAACATTCCTTAGGTGTGGAAACCTCTCTTAGTAGGCGTGTTTTAAAATTTGGAGCGGAAATTCGAAAAGGAAGCCTTAAAAAGAATAATATTTGTTAACAGTGTATTTGGGTTGTTACATAATTCGACTCAAGTTCACGTGTACCTAAATTATATCAATTAATTAAAACCTTCGACTTTTAAACGGGCGATAATGAGAAAAATGTTTTTTTTTTTAAATTTTATTATAAGAAGATGTTAGAAATAATTAATACTATACTAAAAGTGTATCTACCAACATCAAATTGACACTATTAAATACAATTACTTTTTATATTGTTTATAAATTTTAATTTATATTTAAATACTAAATTCGAACATTAAATACTAAATAAAAGTATAATCAGAAGAGTACGTATCAATTAGCTTACTTAATCATATTATTAGCTCACTTAATCTCATATTATTTTTGCATTATATTCCAGACTCATTAATTATCAAACAAATCCGGATTAGGATTACAGTCGAGAACAGGAGTGGAATTGCAGAACCGTGTTGCCAAACAAGTTGTTTCGTAGGCCAGGTTGATCCGAAACAAAAGGGGAGAGACCGCATATATGGAAAGCCCCAAACGGCCAAGCATTTGTCGCTCATTTCCAGTTGCTGCTCCGACGAACACAATTTCAACAAAATTCATGGCTGCTACTGCTCTTGGAAGCGTCGCCGCCTCCTCAGCCTCATCGACCACTCGTTTCCTCTCCACTGCGACCAGAGCTACATTGCCGTTCTCTTCACGTTCATCGTCTTTGTCCTCTTTCAAGTTTCTCAGATCGGCTCCTCTCATTTCTCACCTTTTTCTGAATCAGGTTCTCTCTCTCTCTCTCTCTCTCTTTCTCTCTCCGTGCAAGTATGTATTTACGGTGTTTTAATTTTCTAATCGCTTTGATTTCTTATGGTTTTCATTGGTTTTAGGGAAGGCCGAGTTCTTGTGTATCGATTAGAAGATTCAATGCGGCGTCTCATCCGAAATGCTTAGCGTCGGACCCTGAGCAGCTGAAGAGTGCAAGAGAAGATATCAAGGAGCTCCTGAAAACTACATTCTGCCATCCTATTTTGGTAATTTTGTGGTTCATAATACGAAGTGCTGTTAGCTATTATCTATTAACTATTAACTATTGTTTTCTCAGTTCAACTTGAATTGTGTGGAACTAATTGTTTAGGTTCTAATTCCCATGATAGCAATTGAATGTTTTACTATGTGATAATGGCGTGTTTATATTTGTCCCAAATTGCTTACTACCGTGCTCAAGTGGAACTGGATAAAGTAATGTCCGAGGTGGAGTTTTTGAGCTTTGGTGGACTTCTTTCCTGTTGATATGTGTTGACGTCTCTTCTTTCCCTCAAGGTACGCCTGGGTTGGCATGATGCTGGAACTTACAATAAAAATATTGAGGAATGGCCGCAGAGAGGTGGAGCTAATGGAAGTTTAAGATTTGATGTTGAGCTGGGACATGGTGCTAATGCTGGTAATTCTTCAACAATAACCGTGCATTACAGGTTGACAGTGTTCATTCTAATTGACTCGTTTTACAGGTCTTGTTAATGCCTTGAAACTCATTGAGCCTATCAAAAAGAAGTATTCTAACGTGACATATGCTGACCTATTTCAGTTGGCCAGCGCTACAGCTATCGAGGTCATTAATTATGTCTCTGGAACTAAGATGAACCCTTGACTGAAATTAGATGGATGAATGCTCTAATGATTTGATTTCACTCCAATACAGGAAGCTGGGGGACCCAAAATCCCCATGAAGTATGGAAGGGTAGATGTTGTGGGGCCAGAGCAATGCCCTGAAGAGGGGAGGCTTCCTGGTTAGTAGACTATGTGGCTGGCTCACAAGGGCCAATTCTGATTTCTGTTTAATATCAATTAAATTTTAGTGATTGGCTTTCTTATGGATGCCCTAGTATTTGAATTTGCAGCAGGAATTATTCTGTTGCTAAAATCCAATTGAATGTTTCATTGACAATAACTTTCTGAATCTATATGATTTCATTCTGTAGTACCAAAAACGAAATAGGAGCAGCTATGTTATAATGTCATGTGCTGTATCATTGAAATATTGTGACGTGAATTATGGACATGCCATCATGATAAGGAATAGGTCGAACCTATTGAAATGGCTACCCAAGTTCCTTATGTTGATTTACCTGCATTGTCATCTTGACCCCTTTTTAATTACATTATTTCTAGGTGTTTCTTTTACATAATCATGAATTAGACTAGATTGCTTTGGAGGATGATTATCTAGAATTCAGTATAGGAAGTGAGCCCAATTATATAATTTGAAGATGAGGTGTAGAACAAGTGAAAGAAAGAGGATGCGAAAGACATGTTGTCTTGCCTTTTAGCAACTTCCTTGTTGCTCTGAAAATTTTGAAAAAAGTGCATGCATTTCATCATCCTGCTTGAACTTGTTTTAGGATGAATTACAAAGGGTAATTTTCTTGTTTCTTTATATTAGTATTGTGAACAGTTTCTAATCTTTTATTACAAGATGGCATGTCTTTGTGTCATGCTTTCCCACAAATTGTTAATAACTAGTCTTTTTTTAGATGCTGGCCCTCCATCACCTGCTGCACACCTACGAGAAGTTTTCTACCGAATGGGGTTGAATGATAGGGTAACGTGAATCAGTCTGCAATTTGAGTAAATACACTGTGCATCAGCATGCTTGATTTGTTTCATACAAGTTTTCTGGATCTTTAGGAAATTGTTGCATTATCGGGGGCACACACATTGGGGAGATCTAGGCCAGAGCGCAGTGGTTGGGGCAAGCCAGAGACCAAATATACGGTATATTACCATCATGTTGTGAATGGTTAAATTATTTTGTATTTTGTCTTTCTGACGCAGTAATATTGTGGAATGAACGTTTTCTTATTGTGTTTGGGTCTTTAACATACCATTAATAAACCTACTCTTTCTATTTTTTAATATGAAACCTTACATTAATTTTGGAAGAAAATATGAAAGATAGGGAAGATATAATGAACTCCCAAACAAAGTCCGAAAGCTAGTATATTTTTTAGAAAGGAAGTCTGAGAGATATTATAAATTCACTCCAATTTGTGTCAATTGAGAAAGGGTAGTAATTACGAAGGGTTTTGGTAAAAGAACCCCAAGAAGATGCTCTAAGTCATATGAGATTCCAAAGATCCTTACAAAGCTGCAAAAGAGTAGCAATGAAAGCAGTAATCCGGAAAACCACGAAGCATATGGAGAATGATATCTTTAACATTGTTTGAGAAGGGCGCAAATAGTTGAAGTAGTTCAAGAAATGGCTCAAAAACCTTTAATAGTTTCTGTACATGCTGCACCACCAAGATGGCATTCGTCTTTTGATTTTTATCGTCAAGGATTACTCAACTTAGAGATAAGGACCAAATAAAACTTCTAATCTTTGTGGGCACTTATATTTCTGACAATTTTCTTCATAACCATACCACATTTGTGGCAGTGAGGTCATAATATAAAAAATCCGATGCTGAAGAAACTGAACTCAACCAACTTACATCAACTAGTCCAGAAGATTATGACTTAGTTGGAACTAATCTGTACAATAAAGTGACAAGTTGTTCAATTTATCTTTTATTTAAACTTATTCTAACATCAATTAAGCTGCCTTTGATCTTGCCATCTCAGACATTCTTGGTTCTTCAACCACGGGATATTAGGAGCTACTATAGCTCTCAACCTGTAGACCACCCGGAAATTCTATTTCATATTTTCTAGCAATGTTTTTGATGTAGGATATTGAAATCAATTCCCTCAAGAGCCTTACGAAATGGGAGAGAGCTTGATGTATTTATACATAGTAGCCAGGACCAAGCTTGGGGGAATTTCTTACAAACTTAATTGACGCACCCAGTGAGTGAATGAAACATTACTAATAAGCCCCTCTCCCCCATATTCCTTATGCCATCCCCCCCATATTCCTTATGCCATCCCACATCATTCTCCTCTCTTTGAAGAAATCCCATTCTATTGCACATCATGCTTGAAAGAGCATTCCAACCTATTCTCAAGTCTAGTATCAACTGGCATAGGATAGATTAAAAAATTCCCTTCTAGGGCATGCATTGTCTTGACTGAGGAATTAGCGTTTATTAGTGTGAGAAGTGCATGCTGCTCAAGCTTTTTTTATTGTTCAACCAGATTATTTAAATACCCAGTTTTAATTAATGTACAACTCAGCAATAGCTTATAAATCTTTATTGAAATTCTATATTTGAGACATGCTATGCTGTATTTGGTTTTGGACCTTCTGGAAAATGGTTAATGTTTCCATATGAGGAGAATTGGCATTCCTTCTATTGTGAGGTCACCACTAGTTTCCATCGATGAAGTGCAGATGGTTTATCAGTTTGATGTGTTTAACCATATCTCCTTTAGCTCTTTTCCCGGGTCTTTCTTGCTTTAGTTTACTTTGTCTTTCCACTCATATTTTATTTTGAATCATTGTCATCGATTTAAATTTTGTACTGCATTGTAGTTGCAATTCTCAGGAGATTCCTTTTGTTTTGATTTTTCCTTACAGAAAGATGGACCTGGTGCACCTGGTGGACAATCCTGGACTGTACAATGGCTGAAGTTCAACAACTCATATTTTAAGGTTTACACCATGTTGGTTTCATTCTATATGATCATGTCGAACCAGTTTTTGCTTACTTTTTTTGTCCGTGGTAATAGGATATCAAAGAAAGGAGAGATGAAGAATTACTGGTATTGCCAACCGATGCTGCTCTCTTTGAAGATCCATCATTCAAGGTAAAACAGAGCCACGCATCCCCCCCGTCCCTTCATTGATCCCTTTAGGAGGCCTTATCTTGGTGAACTAGCAACTTCTTCAATGGAGTTGGTCTTTCATAAGGCAATCAAAAGACTCAAATGTGGTTTTCATTTATTAATGTTGTGTTGCAGGTATATGCTGAAAAATATGTTGAAGATCAAGAAGCATTCTTCAAAGACTATGCTGAAGCCCATGCCAAGCTCAGCAACCTTGGTGCTAAGTTTGACCCTCCAGAGGTTTGTCGCCCTTGTTGATAAAATGTAGATCTTGTCTAGGTGGCAGGCTTCCTTTTATAGAATATTTTTCCTTTGTGATGAATTTTCCTCTTATTGACGCCCTTCAAAGTCATCCAACTAAAATAATATTGCACCATCAAATATTCTGATTCTCCCAGAATTACACTTTATAGAACTATGAGGTGTTCTTTAAAATTTGTCTAGTTGCTTATAGAAAAGCTTATGGACTCCAAGTTTATGTCTACTCAAACCTCACCGAAACTGCATTTTGTTGATCACAGGGTATTGTGATTGATGATGCATCATCAAAACCTGCAGGAGAGAAGTTTGATGCCGCCAAATACTCATACGGGAAGGTTGTATACATTACAAACTTTCTTATTTCCATTTCATTTATTTGCATGATAAATTTCTTTAAAAAATCTCGTCTTCATAAAATGTTTATCTTCTCTACTTTTGGTTGTCTACTGCAGGATTGATTAAAAACAAGTTTCATGTTTTGTTGTGCCGTGTCTTTTAATAATACGAGTTGAGAAGATATATTCAAATCCTGACATCTGTGATGTCGCGTCTAAAACTTGGAAGTCTAAAATGAAGCAGAATGGAATAAAATTCAATAGTGTATTGCCTATTTGAATTGCAGAGAGAGCTATCAGATTCAATGAAGCAGAAGATTCGGGCGGAATACGAAAGCTTTGGTGGAAGTCCAGATAAGCCTTTACCAACAAACTACTTCCTTAATATCATACTTGTGATTGCTGTTTTGGCAATTTTGACATCTCTTCTAGGAAACTGAGGTTTTGAATCTACCTTTATTTCTCAACACAATGTCTTCTGATTTCACGATCCATTTCTAATGCTTACCTACTTGAAATTAACCACATCTTTGGTCAACTAACTACAATGGTCTGTGAATGGGTAAAATATCTAGGACTAGTTAATTACTTTAACCTTTTGTTACACACGACAAATTATTGAATGTGGTTTTTATTGCTCTTGTCAGTTTCGTATTTAGTAAACTTGAACTTAACTCAACTAGTTAGTTGAAACATATATTAGGTATACATAAAGTATCACCCGATTTATGCTTGCCTAGGCAGTCAATAGGCAGCGAGAATCATTAAGCATACGACATGTATCGGACTTATAGGCAGGACTGACTTGTTTTAATGTTGCTTATTATGGCACTTATACTTCTCAGCAGGCTAACTATTTGGTGTATGTATTAAGGATATTTCTATCCAATTCAAATTTGGCCATGCTGTAGGTAGGATAGGTGGAAGCTAATTTGGTGAAATTTGTACATTTTTACTGATCCAGTGTTTATATTTGTAGTATAGAACAGGGATGGCCTTTAGAACTTCCAATAATGTGGGAATAGGCTTGTTTCTCGTCATTTCAGAGTTATTAGAATAAACACACTTTTGAAAGGCATCTTTGGCTCACAGGCACAATGTTTCAAATTGTCATGGCTAACTCTTCGTTGATTTTATTCTCCCTTTGTTTCTCCAGAAATTTGAAGGAATCCACATGTTAATTCAAAAGAAGAAAAAATTTGGGCTCAAATGTTTGGACAAAATTTGAATTTATACCGAGTTTTGGAAGGTAGGGAATAGACGTTTAGGTGTTGCTACCTATGTCGTGTCACCACATTTGTTCAGTCGAGTCAACCAGAGCCTTTAGTATTTGAAACGATCGGTGCACTTGTGTTCTCATGTGGAACTCTTGCAATTGATTGAAAAAAAAGAGCCAAAGCAAGAAAGATGGTTTGTCATCCGAAACTGATAGGAACTTTCCAGGAATTGCTTGCTGCAAGTTTTCCTTTTTTGGAAGGAGATCGAGCTTTGAGCATCTTTGGCAAATCATGTGAACAACAAAACTTCACCTTTTATGGGTCTAAAAGTTTTGATTTAGATATTAAATTTAAAGATAGTTTGTTCTTTTGCTTAAAAAAAAAAAAAAAAAAAGTCAATTTAGTTCACAGGGTTAGATTTAACAAATCACACCTATTATCAAATATTTTAAAGTTATGGGATGTAATTAATAATTTAACTTATAATTCTTTATTAGTAAAGTTGGATGGTAAGATAATATTATCAAACCTATTATTTTCATTACCTATGTAGTCAACATCCATATGATAAATCATGCTTTCATTTCAATGCATGAATAATAATTTTTAATCATTTTCAAATTTCAATATTTCAAATTATTAGATATAATTTTATTTTTTATTTTTTCATTCCAAGGTACAAAGAGGTTAATAAATAGATTTTCTAAATTTTTATGGAAAAAAAAAGCCCATTTATATCTCTAAGGTATGTACGATTAATAATTGTATTCAATTTCAAAATCAATTTCAAAATCATTCCTATTATTAATAGGAAAGTAAACGTCTTAAAAAATCTATTATTGTGTAAATTGATATAATTATTAAAATTAAGATTTAAATTATACAATTATTACTCTAATTTAAAGTTTTTATTGAAAATTTCCATAAATTAGCTTAATATTTATGAAAGACAATACTATAGGGATAAGAATGAATTGTATTGTTGTGTTCTCTTTCCAACCAACGTGGGACATCACACAATCCACCCCTCTTCAAGGTCCAGCACTCGTTTCTTTCTCCAATCGACAATTCATCCCCTTCGAGGCCCAGCATCTTTACTGGCACATCATTTGCTGTCTGGCTCTGATACCATTTGTAATGTAGGCCCACCGCTAGCATATATTGTCCTCTCAGGCTTTCCCTCAAAATTTTAAAACGCGTCTGCTAAAAGAAGATTTCCACACACCTTATAAACGGTGTTTTGTTCTCCTCCCTAACTAACGTGTACATCACATACAAATATTCAAAAAATGATTGAAATATACATTTCAACTTAAATAATAATTAATATATATTTGGAAAATTCATTAATGTGGGTGGTGGCTTTCCCTATAATAATTTTATTAATTATCATTACTTCTACTTTTTGGCCTAAGATTTATCCACAAAGACCATTTCAAGTGGACAAATTGGATTAGAAAGTAAATAATACTATAAAAGGTAATATATATATATATATATAATAACGATTTTCATAATTACAATATAATATCCTTAATGTTTTAAAATTATTGTTGAAATAAAAAATTATTTAAATGTTGAATAAAAATTGACTTAAACTTAATTCAAATAAGTGTTATAGTCATTCTTTAATTTTCCTATAATATTAATAGATTTATATTAAATAATAATTAAAAATATTTATGAAATATTAAGGTGTAATAATGGTAAGAATTTAAAATATAGTCTTTTTTACCATAAAATTTCAAATCCAACGGAGAATTGTTCCAGTACACGCAAGACCAGGAAAACCAAACAAAACAACAAATCAGTTTCAATTGAATAGATATTTGCCACTTTTAGAAAAGTCGCCACGATTTAATTGGCCATCGACATTTCAAATTCTTCTAGCAGCCGGTAGTAGTTTTTAATCGCCGATTCAATCGCCAAGCGTGCGAGCCCTCGGATGAAAAACCAATACGAATGACGAGTCTTATCCAATAGAAGAACGCCACGTGGATTAATGTCCACATGGAGCGCCAACGTTGATTGGTAATGCGTAGATCCGATGACTCACGAGAAGTCACGTGCGAGTACCATATTTTCATCGTTTTTTATCTAACTCCTTCAGCCGCATTTTTAAAAATTAATTAATAATTTAAAAAAATACTGCTTCAGCCGGTCCCCCTTAAAACCCCCCCGCGCGTCTGAACTTTTCTGAATATCGTATAGTTTACGGAAAGCTTTTTCTTCCATTGCATTGACAATGGCGTCTTCACATTTGATTCGGTTCTCTGTGCTTGTTTTTGTTCTTTTTTCTGCTTCTTTCGCTGAGATCTACGCGGACAAGGCTGAGGCGAAGGAATTTGTTCTCACTTTGGACCATTCGAACTTCTCGGATGTTGTTGCCAAGCATGATTTCATTGTCGTTGAGTTCTACGCCCCGTGGTATGGTTTTTTTAGATTGTCCTTTAGGGTTTTCTTTACTGCCATTTCCTTTTTGTTAGTCAAGTTTCCGTTTCCGATATTTTTTTTATGGCTGCTATGTGATTTGATTTTGTGATTTTTGTGAGGATCTCATTTTTATGTCGTGTCTGTAGAATTATTTTCTTGATTCATTTTTCGCATTCATTGTGTAAATTGGCCTCTGCTCTGTTTCTATAGGATGGTTTTAGTGCATTGTTGTTGAACAGTCTTGGTGATGTTATTTGGATATTAGCATTTGGGAATGATTGTATGGCTGCCTTCTGTTTGTTACCCCGATGTGTGTAATTGAGTGCGCAATCAACGACGGTGAGGATTTTAGTTTGTTTTTTTTTTCTTTTTTCTTACTTTTGCGAACCCTTGTAGAAATGGATCTTAGTACCCTTTCGTTGGTTTTGGGACTTTTTTTTTTTCTTTTATGTATGAAGAACTGGAATCAGAGGCTAGTTGTTGGCTTAGTTATATGTTGATTTTTTCTCCTTGGGGTATCCTTCATCATGGAACATTTTTTTCACTCCTTTCCCTTGAGAAGCAATGGAGATTTATGGAATTGATTCAGATTTGAACCTTCTAATCGTATTATCATGTTTTAATTTGCCATTATTACTGCATGAAATGTCATTGAGATGACCCTTTCTATTAACGTTTCCCCCGCATTGTTCTAGGTGTGGGCATTGTATGAAATTGGCACCAGAGGTAACTATTTCTCTTATCTCAGTTGTTTTGGTTGAATTGTCCTTGAGCATCTTGTTTCTTATGGTCCTGTGGTCTTTTCATATTTTACAGTATGAAAAAGCTGCGTCTATTTTGAGCAGTCACGACCCGCCAATTGTTTTAGCCAAAATTGATGTAAACGAAGAGTCAAACAGAGGGTTGGCTGGTCAATTTGAAATTAGGGGCTTCCCCACTATTAAGATATTGAGAAATGGGGGCAAATCGAGTCAGGATTACAAGGGACCTCGCGAAGCAGATGGAATTGTTGACTACTTGAAGCAGCAAAATGGGCCTGCATCTGCTGAAATAAAATCTGCTGAGGATGCTAGTAATCTCATTAAGGACGTTTTCATCGTATGAACTAAATCTCTCATCTTTTCTTCCTTTCCAAGTTTGTGCTGCCATTTTCATTTTTCTGAGTAGCTACGAAAATTGATTTTCCCTGTCTTAGGTTGGAATATTTCCTAAACTTTCTGGAGAAGAGTTCGATAACTACATCGCTTTGGCTGAGAAGTTGCGTTCTGACTATGCTTTTGGCCACACTTTGGATGCTAAGCTACTTCCACGTGGAGAAACATCTGTATCTGGCCCAATTGTCAGGCTTTTCAAGCCATTCGATGAGCTATTTGTGGATTTTAAGGTACCTGAATTTAATATCATTATGTGTGCTAAATTTGTAGGTTTGGCTTTTTGTGATTTAATTTTTGCACGCTGATCTTATTGGAGCTATGAACTCAGGATTTTGATGTAGCTAAGTTGGAGAAGTTCATTGAAGAATCTAGCATTCCCTTGGTAACGGTTTTCGATAATGACCCTAACAATCACATCTACCTTTCCAAGTTCTTCTCCAGTTCTAATGATAAGGTAAAGAGGCATGATCCGTTGTGAGAATAGTTCTCCATTTTAGTCAGAGACTTCTTTCCATTGTTTGCATGGAGTTAATTGTGCACTAATGTTCACCGCTCACTTTCTGCGGTTCAATAAATGTGTCTGGTTCTTATCAATTTTATTTATCTTTCATACTCGAAACAACTTTCAGACTATTTCCCCTTCTGGGGGTACAAAGTAAATATTTACAATTGAATGAATAAATAAATATTTTTCATTGATAAGCAATGGGGTTTGATTAAT